GTTAGCAGTCAAGTGCCTTAGGCACTATGCTACCAGAACTCCTATGGAGGGAGTAACAAGTCAGACAAATAATAGGACATACAAAGAAAAAACTTAATCATTATGTGTTCATTTTATCTACCACACTCACTTTTGCCCTAAGGTATTATCTTGCAGTTCCAAAACTGATAGTAAAAGAAAGAGAGAAGGAAAGAAAGTAAGAAGGAAGGGAGGGAGGGAGGGAGGGAGGATGGAGGGAGAGGGAGAAAGAAAGAAAGAAGAAAAGAGTGTTGGATTAGGAAGGAAGTACCTCGGTTATTCTTCTAAAATTGCAGGTTGATTCATGACAACTTGAAGTTATTAAAAAATAATTATCTTTTACCTTTTATAACATTCTACAGTATATAGAGTGATTTTAGTTACTTGAACTGGTATGATTCTGCCAGCAACCCTATGAGATAGATGGGATTATTATCTTCTCTATTTTAGAATGGGGAACCTGAAGTTCAGAGAAGTTGATCTCCCAGATTACACAGTTTTTAAAAGGCAAGGCAAAACCAGAACTGCAGCCTCCTGGCATCTGGTCTGGGGCTTTTCCCACACCACCCACCACCAGCGCATCCCTAGTATAAGCACTCCATGGCATTACTCGCTGACAAGTCTACACAAGGTAGGCGCTCCCTGGGGTCTAAGAATATCCAAAGGTCTGGATGTTAGGGGCCCTGCATTCCATTTTATCCTCATAAAGCTCAGTATGTCCCTATTCAATCCTGACACACAACTCCATTTGTGATAACACAGCCATCTTAGGGACCAACCCAGAGAGTACTGTCAGGTGGTGTGATGGAGATTATGACCCAAGGGACAAATGGGGCTGAGTGACGGGCCAGCCTATATTTGGCATCCCACCTTCAACGACCCTGCCTGTGCCAGGCAACACTGATAAACAAATGGCCCATCCTTTGGTGCCTTGGCCAAGGCAAACTCACATTCTGGGACTGGCTAGGGGAGTGTTGAGACACAAGAATTCCAAAGCAATGCAGGAGGCCGAAAAGGTTATGTTGGGTGTAAGCCAGGACCTAAATGTGACTTCAAATCATAGCAACTTAATTAGCAGGTCGGTGCTATTTGAATAACTTAAAATAAAATGTGTAGGAACGTCTCACCTTCGAACAGCATCTCAGTACCACTTTAAATTCTATCATGTTTTCACGATCTTTAACAATGATCCTATAAGGAAAGTACAGGAGATAATATTATCACCATTTTCCACCCAAGTTCAAGGTCACCCAGAAATAAATGGCAAAATCAAGATTGGAGCCCAAGTCTCCCGATTCAGGACTCTTTCCAATACCCTGTGCCTTTTGGCCTAGGAGCATGGAAGAAGAAATCAGAGATGTCTTCTGTGCTTAGCTCCATAGCTACATCCCCATCTTTAGAAATGGAACTGTGCACCTGTTTAACAGAAGGTTTAAAGAGTTCCATTTTGAACTACAAATCCTGATAGATACATGGCAGATTTCTGTGATCACTTAAAAACCTCCTGTGTAAAAATTACCTTGTGAAGAAAGTATTATCTGTAATCTTATCCTTATTTTGAAAAGTATCATGTCTAAGCAATTGCTAGAAAAAAAAGTGTGTGTGTGTCTGTAAATATATATATATTCTCCAAAAGGCATATCTGTCTCCTATTAACTTGCAGCACATGCCAATGAAATTTCCACTGGAGAAATAAAATGAAAAATTTGACCTATGGTTGTTTTCATTGAAACTTTTCACATCATTAATTTCACAAGTGCCACTGTCATGCTCCTGGATGAAATATATTACATTTCTTCTCTATTTTATATTATGTGGAAACTTGAAATCAAAATGAACAAGAGCAAAATTATGTGATCCCACTCTTTTCTAGAGAATGTTTCATCTTTAATCAGAGAAGGATGTGTCTCAGAAGAAGAAATTGGCTAAGAAAACACTCCCTCATTTTTACTTCTCATGTCTCATTTTGTTAGTAAATGAGGGGCTTGGTCAATCTTGAAGTCTATTTCAACTACAATTTAAGTAGAATCTGAAATATGCAACTTAGGCTCTTTCAGGGGATTTTAAGGATTTCACATCTTTCTGTATGCTCTTTTCTCTGCCTTAAATGTCCTTTCCCCTCTTCTCTATCTGGAAAACTACTACCCACATTCAAAACCCTGTGTGCATGTGATTCCTTTTACGATCCAACAACTCCCTCCCTCCAACCTTGGTCTAAACACAGGTGGCTGTTTCTTCCTGTGAGTCTCCCCAGCCCTTCTCACTGGTGGCACAGTGCCTAAGGCACTTGACTGCTAACCAGAAACCTGGTGGTTCAAACCCACCAGCCACTCCTCGGAAGGAAGGTTGGACAATCTACTTCTGTAGTGATTCCATCTCAGAAACCCAAGATGGGGTCGCTGTGAGTCGGGCCAACTCGACGGTATTGAGTTAGTTGTGAGCCCTTCTCACAAGACTATTATTTGGCATGAAGTGTTTTGGGTCCTGTCTTCTTCACTAGAATGCGGGCTTCTCAGTGCCACGGGCCTTGCATTTTCTAATTTTTCCTCCCTTTGTTCCTTCCTGAGCCCCAGTGGTGCAGTGGTAAAAGTGCTTGGCTGTTAACTAAAAGGTGAATGGTTCAAACCTACCAACCACTCTATGGGAGAAAGATGTGGCAGTTGCTTTCATGAAGATTTACAGCCTTGGAAATCTTATGAGGCTATTCTACTCTGTCCTATAGAGTCACTATGAGTCAAAATAGACTCAGTGGCAGTGAGTTTGGCTTGGTTTTGGGTTTGATCTTTCATTAAGTAGCTAGTGCAGTGCTTGTCACATGATGAAAAACAAAACCCACTGCCGCTGAGTCAATTCTGATTCATGGCAGCACCAGGTGATGGAGAACTGCTCCATAGGGTTGTCTTAGAATCTTTACTGAAGCTGATCACCAGGCCTTTCTTCTGTGGTGCTGCTGGGTGGGTTCCAGCCATTAACTTTTAGGTTAATTGTCAAGTGAAACCATTTGGACACAACTGAATGAATGAGTGCATGCAGACTTGATTCTAAGCGTGTCAATTCAAAATCCATTATTCCTTGCACTATACTTAACAACCTGAACTAGAGAAATAGGGACACTAAATGTTTCAATTCTTTGAAATAAAGTTCTTTTAAATACTTTTACTGAATTGAAAAAAAAAAAAAAAAGAGCCTGCTGCTGTGAGGAGAAGGATAGGATGTTCCTGGCTAACCTCACACTGTGTTTGTAAGCAGGAAAAGCTCTTTGGGGGCTATTTAGATAGGAATGTTCCCTTCACTCCCAAGATCAGGTTCAGTGGTCTGTTTGCTATTTACCTTCTGTTTCTTAGCAAAACTGTCTTTGTTATGAGGTTGTGAGATACAATCTGACCAGCTGACCCAGGAGGGCTTAAATATTAATTGCCAACTATTATAAGAAGGTGACTGGCTTCCAGAAGGGAATAAGAAAGGTCAGAAGCAGCCACTCAGAATGCCCTGATAGTGCTTGGTGTCAGTGACAAAATGACACACCAGGCTTCTTAGAAACCAGGATTCAGGAAACCTTGGATCCCAGTGAAAATTCAGCCCCCTTAGGGCTAGAAGGATTCCAGAAATTTCTGAGTATCCATGGTTTATTTCACTTCTGCTCTGGGGAAATGGAAAACTTGGATTCAGACTGAAAAGCACACAAAGACACAGAAAGAAAGAAATTATGTTTTAACTTCCCTCCTTGGCTAGGATCTCTTCTACATAATCCCCTAGTGAGGGCACAGTGACAGCTCAGAGCTGTGGCTATCAGCAGCTTGTTACAGCAGAAAGGGCTCCAAGCCTGTGGGAGGACACATCATTTGGTCCTCCAAAACTGTGAAAGAGTAAGGAAAGGAACAGCTGTCTCCCTTTCACAAATGGACAAACATGTAAAGGGAAGCTGTATAGTGCATCTGGATACACAGCACGTTGAGGGAAGTGCAAAGAACTGAAAGTAAATTTCCAGGCTTTCCTGAGAGGTGCAAACAGGTAATAAATTGGAGGCTCAATCCACTCAGCAGCACCTTGGAAGAAAGGCCTGGCAATCTACTTCCAAAAAGTCAACCATTGAAACTCTATGGAGCACAGTTCTACCCTGACACACACACAGTTGCTGTGAGTTGGAGCTGACAGTAATTAGTTTGGTTGGCTTTTGATGGGATCTAGTGTGGTCCAGTATATGTTGTTGTTGTTGTTGTTATGTGCCGTCGAGTCAGCCCTGACTCATAGCGACCCCTCCTTGGGTTTCCGAGGCAGTATCACTACGGAAGTAGGATTGCCCAACCTTCCTATATGTTAGTGCCTGGAAAATGATCATTTTAAAAAGGAATGAAGGAACTTTAGGAATTAATATGGGTAGGTAATTATATATATTACATATTTTTATCAGCAATATAAGCTAAATCTTGCTACCAAAGAGGCAGTCCCCCACTGGTAGCATCAATATTGCCTAGAGCTTGTTAGAAATGGAGAATTTCCTGCCTCCCCTCACATCCACCACACCGCAATCTGTACTTTAATAAGATCCCAGGTGATTTCAGAAGCACTGAGCTAGATAATAAAGTTATCTAGGTTGTTCCCACTTATAATGGGACATCTTTTCAAACCCTATATGGGAAAAATATTAGTTAATGTTTGTATGTAATTTTATAAACACAAAATTAGCTTATTCTTTCCTTCCTAGAACCAAGGTACATTAGGGCAGGTGGTTTTGAAATTTACCAAAAGAGGAGACAGAGTCCCAAAATGGTAGTGACTTGCTCAAAGCCATCTAAGTGTCTAGACTTATGCACATCACTTGCACTAATTGTTTGCCAAATGAATGAATGAACCATCAAACACACTGGGCCTGGATCCTGGTCTTCAAACCTGAAGTTAGGCTTCTTTTCCAGTGCACTACTAGGAAATGGTTCACTCTTGGGCCTGCCTGAATTTAGAGTATTTACTTTGTCTCTCACTAGACTTCACCTTGATCAGGGAGTCTTCAAGATGCCAAACTGGGGTGGAGGAGCCAAATGTGGAGCCTGTGGAAAGACCGTCTACCACGCGGAAGAGATCCAGTGCAATGGGAGGAGTTTCCACAAGACCTGCTTCCACTGCAGTGAGTGGGGTGAATCCATGGGGGTCCTTGGCATCCAGGAGGCATCTCAAAGCACTCATTTAACCACAGATGCTGTGTATCAGTGGTTCTCAAAGTGTGATCCCCAAAGCAGCAATAACAGCATTGCCTGGGAATTTGTTTGCATTACAACTTTCGAACCCTATCTAAGAAAGGCTGGCTCCCTTGTGTGCCCTTTCTCTAACCACTTGCCCAGCTCAGAGGCCCTTGCTCTGTAGAGCAGCATCAGAACAAGCTGGCCTGCCATTACTCGCTGTGCTTGAAAACTTAAACCTAGTGGCGACATTTACAAAGTGTGACTTGGCAGAGAAAGGAAGCCAGCACTTATGTGCACCCAAGATGTATTTGGCTCTCTGTGTTGCCAGATTGGTCAGATGTCACTGAAGCCAGATGTGATTGGTCCTTCCTAAGAAAGAACCTGTGTCAAGTGGAAGATGGGAAGGAGGGTGGTGGGAACAACGTGTGCCAATTCTGTAAGAGTCAGAAAGGAAGTTTCAGGACCTGGGCACTAAACCTGATGAAGGAAATCTATACCATCACCCGCTGGTTGCAGACTCATAGAATGCCCAAACTGGAGACAACTTTAAGACCCTGTGGTCCACCTGAGAATCTGGCTCTGCCTCCATGCATGTGACTTTGGACGAGTCACCTCTCATCCCTAAGCCCAGATCACATGCATCTGTGGCAGAGCTAGTACCTTCAGAGTCCCACTCCAGTGCCCTTTTGACACTAATGCATTCTACAGAGTTTCCTAATAGGCAATCTACTTCCATAGTGATACTGCCTGGGAAACCCAAGGAGGGGTCGCTTATGAGTCAGGTCTGACTCAAAGGCACATAACAACAACAACAACAACAGTCCTGTTTCAGTCCCTGGGTGTTGTAAACCATTCATGTGCTAGCTACTAACTGAAAGGTTGGTGGTTCAAGTTCACCCAGAAGTGTTTTGGAAGAAAAGCCTGGTGATCAACTTCTGAAAAGTTAACCAGTCACAACCCCATGGAGTCCAGCTCTACTTTGACATACATGGGGTCACCACAAGTTAGAATCAACTCGACACACTTTAGTCCTGTTCAGGGAAGAAGGCTTTGAAATGGTTACCTCCCTCTACCACTTTAGTCCTGTTTGGGGATCTATGGCTTTGAAATGGTACTTCCCTCTACCACTCCTCTCCAGGTGGTCTGGCTTAAGAGCTAGCCTTGCTGGGCATTTAACTGGCTCCCTACGCACTGAGCCTCCTGCCACACGCCCCACCTGTGCTGCAGCCCAGTGGCTGATGGCTGCCCGTGTCTCCAAGCTGTTCAAGCAGCATTTCAGGGGCTGGGCTCCATATGCGGGGGCAGAAGATACACCACCCTTAAACTGCCAGAAATAGTAACACTGTATCTGCTTCAAGAGCTCCCACTTTCCCTTACCTCCCACAGAAAACCTAATTGTCAGGGAAGAACACTGGGAGAAGCATGGCTCAGAGTCAATAGGTTGGTGCTTTGGGTTTTAATGATGGGTAGTTAATTTTAAGCCATTTTACATATCCCTCAGATTCATTATTACAATTATCCAGAATGCTTTGCTCAAGGGAGTTCATTTCATAATCCTCTAGCCTTTGTTCAAAATTGACTAATGTTCTTTAAAAAGAATGTGTGTGTGTTGCGGGGTAGGTGAGGAACATTAGAAACAGCTCTGGATTTGTTGTAAAGACTGGGGTTTGAGTCTGGCCCCTGCCATGTACTAACTGTATGACTTTGGTCAGGTCATTTGACCATTGCAAGCCTCAATTACCCCACATAGAAAATAGAGATACAATATGTACCTACCATACAAAGTTGGTACAAGGAACAAACTGGGAACCCAGTCTTCTAGGCCTTTATTCTTCTTTGATATCTGAATTGGAAGGGAAAATGGTAGGGAAACTTCCCAGGATAAAGGATATCTTGTCTCTGCCCCACCCCCCACCTCAACCCACCCTGTAGTTAGAAGATTGTCTGTTCATCGGGGCCACAATAAAAGGCATTTGCTTATTTGGTGGAAGGCGAAGCTTCCTTTTTATCCCTTGGATATTTTCCTTAGAATTTGTACATGGGATTAGGATCTAAGCAGTAAGAGTTCCTGTAACGGTGGGCAGAAAGAAGGGCCCTGGAGAGGAGCATGCTTTCTTATATTAGCATCGTAAGACTTACCTGCCCATAGGTTGTTGTTACTGGAAATAGAGCCGAGGGCGGCAGGGTCTCCTTAGCTTGTCCTCTGCCTGGTATTCTCCTGACTTCTAGATAAATACTCAATCCTCCATACTAGTGGTGTCCAAAAGAAATATAAATGCAAGCCATATATGTCAATTTAGCTTTTAAAGTCACCATATTTAAAAAAAAGAAACAGATGAAATTAATTTTATAGCATTTTATTTAACCACAATGTCATCATTTCAACATGTAGTCAACATGAAATCATTAATGAGACATTTCACATTCTTTCTGTCTTGTACTAAGTCTTCAAAATCCAGTGTGTTTTCTACTTATGGCACATCATGTGGCTGGTGTCTACCATACCACACAGCTCAGCTCCACACTTTCTGTGACAAAAGCTGACCCGAAGCCAGGCAGTGGCTATGGAATTGGCCAGGGTCTGACTGGGAATAGGCAATCTGGGAGTGATGGGAGTGAGCACTGGACAAGAGTCAAAGAACCTAAGGTCACAGAGAGCTTTACAACTTACTTTTGTATAACCTTGGACAAATCACTGATCTTCATTCACTCATTTATACGTTCATTCACTCATTTATTCGTTCATTCACTCAATAAGTATTTGCAGAAGGCTAAGTCTGTGCCAGGCTCTGTGCCAGCTAGCTTCTGGGAATTTTCAGGTGGAACAGTTCTGTGTTCCAGTAACTCAAAATCTAGAATATCAATGAACAAGTGAGGGCTGTTATGGAGGCTGGTAACTGCCTTAGTTTCCTATTGCCGCCATAACAAAAAGTACCACCAGCAGGTGGCTTTAAAGAACAGAAATTTATTTTCTCACAGTTCTGAAGGCTGGAAGTCCAAATCAGGGCATCTGCTCTAGGGGAGGTCCCTTCTTGTTGGTAGTCCCAGGCATTCCTTGGTTTGTAGAGGGAACTTCACATGGCAGCTGTCTCTCCCTTGTAAGTATGTGCCTCTTGGTGCTGTTTTCCTTCTTAGAAGACACCACTCAGAGTGATTAGGTTTAGGACTCACTCTGCCACATTAACATAACAAAAGAATATGTATGTGCGTTACCAAATAGGGTCATATTTACAGATATAAGGGGTTAGGACATCAACACATCTTTTTGGTGAATGCAATTCAATTCTTAACAGTAACTGAGAGCAACAAGAATGACAGAGATAGGTATATACCTTATATGCCCAAATCTAAGGGATGCTTTTCCCCCAAAAAAATTAATCCTTGTAAAAAGAAAAGAAAAAAAAGGTTTTGTATCCAAAGCCTTACGAAGTCTCTCATGTTATATGACATTTTCTGAATTACTTTATTTATTTTTATAGAGAATTTTTAATATACACAAAAGTTGTATGAACTACCATATACCCATTTCCCTAGCCCCACAACATCAACTCCTGGCCAGTCTTACCTTCTTCTTCTCCTACTCCTTGTATTCAATTGCTTTATTTATTTATTTATTTTAACAACAAAATACCATTTGTGGCAGATATATTAACCTGAAACAACCTCATTCAGTGCTGGTTTGGACTGCATATGGAAGTCACTTGACGAAACTGGTGGTTTTTTTTTTTTTTTTTTTAAAGGAGGAAAGTAGATTTAATGCACATTTGTTATTCCTAGGGACATGACCTTACTATTATAAGCACTGAGTAACACCATACACCACCTTTAATGATCACTGTTACAAAGCAATACAGAAAGTTATTAAGTTGCAGAAATCATATATTTTAAAAAAGCTGCCCTAACGTTGTGCGAATAAGTACTTCTTGTGAGATGCAGTTTCCAGTTGGTCATCAGCCTCCTAGTCAGATACAAATTGGGCTGCCTCTCAAGTGACGGTTGAGGGAGGATGATGAGCTGCTCTGGAAAGCGGGGTCAGCTGCCTCCGAAAGTGACGCTGATGATGCGGAAGATGCCGATGCTGACGATGCAAAGGAAGATCGTGGATACGATTGTTTTCCGAAGTTTTGTGAGAATGGGAAAAAAAATTCCAAATCAATGTTACGAATTTCTAGTATTAATTAAATATTATAAGTAGATATCTGGCACTTTCACTTACATCCCTACAAGTTTGTTTAAGTTCGCAGAAACAGAAATCGTTTTTAAATCTTCTTTTTGGAAAAATGGGGGCTTGGCTTATATTGGTGTATACTTTATATTCACTAATAGACAGTGGCCAGAGGGCTTGAGCCCATGTAACCAAAGGGTCTAGGAAGCAGCTCTTCCCCTCCACCACCCGTTCTGCTTTCAGAACTGGGCTGAAATCGGCCCCTATGACAACTGTCCTCCTGAACAGCAGAGCGCTCCTCAAAGGCCATGAAAGCACAGAAACTGCTCTGTTCTGATTCTTAGCTGATTAAAAAAGAAACAGGCACCGTTCCTGCTTCAGACCCCACATACACACACATACACACCCACTCCCCAGACACCATTTGTGGCGAGACACTCAGGAATCAGGTTTTTCCAATTCAGTGATACTGCTCTTAGCTGGTTAAGCTCTTGTAGTGCAGTGGTTAAAGCATTCAGCTGCTAACCAAAAGATAGTTGGTTCAAACCTACCAGCTGCTCCACAGGAGAAAGACGAGGTAGTCTACTTCTGTGAAGATTTACAGTCCTTGGAAACCCTGTGGGGCGGTTCTACTCTGTCCCGTAGGGTCAATATGAGTCAGAACTGACTCGACGGACTTGGGTTTGGTTTTTGGTTTGGGCTGAGATGGCACGTGATTCCTATCCTGGACCGCACCCCTTTCTGTTGGGGACATTTGAACACATTACTTCTCCCTTCTGTGTCCCAATTTCCTCATCTGTGAGATCAAAACAGTCTTGGAGTCTATGACTTGGGATGTGCTGTAATCAAGAATCAGAGTTGTATTCTTGGCTGGCAGGTCCCTTGTGCTGGGTCTCTTGGCCTTGAATATGACTTTGGGGGTGCAGGGAAGGAGGGAGAAATCTCAACCCCAAGCTTTTGACCCTTCTTTTCCTTGGTAGTGGCCTGCAGGAAAGCTCTCGACAGCACCACGGTGGCAGCCCATGAGTCAGAGATCTACTGTAAGACCTGCTATGGGCGCAGGTACGGGCCCAAGGGCATCGGGTTTGGACAAGGCGCTGGCTGCCTGAGCACAGACACAGGAGAGCACCTCGGCCTCCAGTTCCAACAGTGAGTTACTGCCCCATTTCCTCCCTTCCTGGTAGAGTCTCCAATTATCAGGACAGTTCATTCTGTTCCCATAGCAACATGTTCTAGAAGTGGGAGAATGGACCCTATTATTGACTTGCCAACAATAGAAATACTCAATCTGACCAAGTTTTAACAATGTATCATTTCTCTGAAAACTCTCTTTAAATTATCTGCCTTTCTAAAGGGTAATTACTTTTACAGCATGGCTCTTGGTTTGCATGTCAAGAGAAAACCCAGAATGTACCGATGTTCCATTGTGTGACCTTTGCAAAACTGCATGGAGCCTCTTTTCTTCCCCTTTGAGAGTTTCTGTGTAAATCACATAAATATGGCAGAGAAGCAATGGCCATTCTCTGTGTGCTTGTCACTACAAGATTTCTTCCCTTAGAATGTATGATGGCTAATGTACACAATGCAGGGTAGTGGGTCTGAGGGGAAGGGCTGTGCCTCAGAAATGAACCATCAATTATGACTGGTTTGATTGTGCTGTGGGACTCCCTGGTTGCCAACTGCTGGTACTGTGCTGAGGTCCCCCCATCCCCACCCCAAAATATTATCCCAAGGAAGCTAAGCTATTACTGTGCCACCTTCATTTACCAGTTCCCAGGCCCACTTTCTTGATGATCTCACCGACCTCCAGCCCAGAGCTGGCAACAGTCTGAGTGCTGCTGGCCTGCAGCTGCTGTCTGGCCACCTGGAATCTGGGCTCAGCTCCGAAAAAAAGAAAGCTCTGTGATGGGACTGGCCAGAAAAGCCCAGGCCTGAGGAAGTGTCCCATGGAAGGCCTTCCCAGAGAATACCGAGACTGTCTGATCCCAAATCTACCCATGGTACCAAAAAACAAGCCAGTCGCCATCAAGTCAACTCCAATTCATAGTGGCTCCATGTGTGTCAGAGAGAACTGTGTTCATAGAGTTTTCACTGACTGTGGTCTTGAGCAAGTAGATTGTCAGGCCTTTCTTTTGAGGCACCTCTGAGTGGATTAGAACTGCTACTTTTCAGTTAGTAGCCAAGTGCTGTTTGTACCACTCAGAGACTCCCTACCCCTGTACTCACCAAACCCAACCCACTGTCATCGAATTGATTGCAACTCACAGTGACCCTACAGGACAGAGTAGGACTGCCTCATTGGGGTTTCCAAGGTTGTAAATCTTCATGGAAGTAAAACACAAACAAAACGCAACCATTGCCAGGGAGTTGGATCCACCCATAGTGACCCCTCTTTAGGTTTCCAGGCAGTATCACTATGGAAGGAGCTCTGATAGCATAGTGGCTAAAGCACTTGACTGCTAACCAGAAGGCTGGCGGTTCAAACCCACCAGCCACTCCTCGGAAGGAAGGTTGGGCAATCCTACTTCCGTAGTGATACTACCTACTGCCTCGGAAACCCAAGGAAGGGTCGCTATGAGTCGGGCTGACTCGACGGCATATAACAACAACAACAACAACAACATCACTATGGAAGTAGATTGCCCAACCTTCCTTCTGGCGAGTGGCTGGTGGGTTTGAACTGCCAGCCTTCTGGTTAGCAGTCAAGTGCCTTAGGCACTATGCTATCAGAGCTTCCTTATGGAAGTAGACTGCCACATCTTTCTCCCATGGAGCAGCTGGTGGGTTCAAGCTGTCAACGTTTTGGTTGGCAGCCCAATTCTTTAACCGCAGTGCCACCAGCGTTCCTTCCCTACCTGTAGTAGAGCCTGGAAAAATGGTGAGATGTGTAATTAATCATTTTAAAGAGGACATTTCTTTCATTAATTTTTCTCATTACTCAGTCCCAGCTGGAGACAGTTTAAAAAAGAAAAGATGATACTGTCTGCTGCCTGTAATTACCCAAAGCTCACTTCTCTATGTTAGGGCTTTCTTGTGATGTTGTAGAAAAAGTAACAAGAGTCTAAAGACCAGGGGTTTCAAACCCACTTTACCAGTTATGAGCTGCCTAACCTTGAGCAATGACCTCTCTGACCTAGGCTTTCCTCAAACTAGTCCTGCCTACTTTACAGGGTTATGATGAGGCTCAAGTGATGTTATGTACAATAAAACATCAAAAGACATGAAAACACAAAACGAAAAAAAAAAAAAACAGACTCACTGCTGTTGAGTCAGATCCAACTCATAGTGACACCTCCTTGGGTTTCTGAGGTGGTATCACTATGGAAGTAGATTACCCAACCTACCTTCTGAGGAGTGGCTGGTGGGTTTGAACTGCCAGCCTTCTGGTTAGCAGTCAAATGCCTTAGGCACTATGCCACCAAGGGAATGTTATTGTTGCCTTCATTTTGGACATTACTATCATGGGGTAGGTGACCTTTGGGTACAGGACAACAACCTCATCTATGACTAGGAATCCCTCAGCTCATAGGACTGTGGGTTGTCAGAAGCTGATCAGTACTAACTGTTGTTGTTGTTGTTATGTGCCATCGAGTCGGCCTAAGGTCCCATTATCAGGCCCTTCTTATACCATAAAATCATTTTCACAATGCACTTTACAAAGCAAGCCAGTGGGTTTTAAGATAGTATGGGAAAACCTAACCAACAATCACAAGACTAATAACATGACAATATAAGCAATCATACATGGAGGACTTGCTAAGTGTTTTACAAAAGAAAAGGAGGATTTTCACCAATTATGCATTTATTAAGCCCTTACTACATGTCAGCAAGCACTGTACTAAGTTGCATATGGCACCTCATTTAACTCTTTCAACTATATGGAAGGCACCATGATTATCTCTATTTTCCAAATGAAGAAACTGAGGCATGGAGAAGTAAAGTAGCTTACTCAAGGTCACACAACTAGTACTCTTTGCCAAAGGAGGTTTATACATTTGTTCATCTATTTCCACCAGGTCCCCAAAGGCTGCACGCTCAGCCACCACCAGTAACCCTTCCAAGTTCACTGCAAAGTTTGGGGAGTCAGAGAAGTGCCCTCGATGTGGGAAGTCAGTCTATGCTGCTGAAAAGGTCATGGGAGGTGGCAAGGTAAGGACTTGTGTATGACCCCAATGGGGTTTGCTTATCACCACCGCATCAGTTGGGAGGCACAGAGAGGAGAAAGTAGGAATTGTGGATGAGTCAGGCCCAGGTCCATCATTCTCCTTAACTCCCTGGGAATCACTTTAGAAAACACATCCTTTCCCATTTTCTTGGTCTGTGGCTGCCATCCTACAACACCCTGGGAAAGCTAGAATGACTTTAAATCAATGCAACAAGTATGAACCTCTAAGGTGGAAGGTACCCTGTCAAAAGCCCTTGGCCATAAAAAGTTCACAAGTCCTTCTGCCCTTCCAGAAAGTTTTCATTACTGCTTGGCTAAAGCTGCTGCCAGCATCAGAACTGATGAATATTGCAAACACCTCACAGCAATGAGAAGCATCCTCATTTACAAATGAGAGTCATCAAATATCCAAGACAGTAAGACTTGCTCTACTAGCTCTGGTCTCAGGCTTAAAGTGAGGTGCTCACCAAAGGATTAGGGTCCCTGAGGAAAGCAAAATCTTACCTATATTAAATTGAGGGAGGAAAGGCCATGGAGAGTTCTGGCCTCAAATATAACGGCAGCCTCGACCCCAAGACCAACCACTGGAAGACAAATGATAACCCCAAAGCTGTATCTTGTAGACACACAGATGCACAGAAGGGAGACAATCCTCCAGCTGGTCCAAGCCAAAAACTCATTTCCATCAGAAACACACAGAGAAGTAAAACAAGGCTGAATTGCCTGAGCAATTAACTTACTTCATTTTTTCAAAATAAATATTACCGATTAACCCAAGCCCTCTGTCCAGTTTGTTCTTTAGATCCTTTAGGCTTACAGAAGTCCAGTTGTTTTAAATGAGTACATATGGAAGTCACAAGGATAAAGTCATTTTTCAGGGGTCTGAGAATTGATGGCCAAGTCCATAGCATCTAATTTTCTCCAGAACCCCAGGACAAATTATTCTGGGAGCTGATAAGGTTAGTGAATAGTTAAGACAGTGGTTTTCATTTATATCTGCCTGTCAGGGGACTTAAAACAGAAATAGAATATGCTGACTCCATTAAATATGTAACTTTCCTGTGACCCACAGCCTTGGCACAAGACCTGTTTCCGCTGTGCCATCTGTGGGAAGAGTTTAGAGTCCACGAACGTCACTGATAAAGATGGGGAACTTTACTGCAAAGGTGAGTGTTGGTGCTAGAGACTCTCAAGATATGGTTTCTTGAGAAGGACCCTTGGGAGGGAAAGTTGTCTCCATGTCTAGAGACTTACCTAGTGTCTGCTAGAAGGTATGGCTGCAAAGCCTAGACAGGGTTTGGGCTCTCAGGAAGGGGAGCAAAACCATGTAAGGGAAGGAAATCTCCCACCTGACCCAACTCTGGTCTTCTCCCTTGGAGCACCTGGGAGGATGAGATGTTGGAAGATGCTCAGTGGTCCAGGGAAGCTGGATGCCTGCAGGAAGAGAGAAAGGGAAGGAAGCATGTCCTGACTTTGGCCCTGGAAGAGGCCTCAAGCAAGGACCTATAGCATCTCAGTCCCTTGCAAAAATCCACTATCTACCTACCTGGGGGGAGATAGGGTTTACCAGGGAGGATGAACCCAGTTTGGCCTAACTTGAGTTTATCAAGACATACATTGCTTTCCTCTTTCATCCCTGTTTCTCTCTTCCTCCCTTCCATCCACTTGTGTTTCTAATATTGGGCATCACTTAGTGATCACAGGGACCTGACAGCTAGTTTTCCTTCTGATCCTCATAACTCTGCTCCTATCTGCCTCCACAAGTCCTTTGTCTCCTGGAGAGACAGTAGAGGCTTAGTCCTTCCTGCCACTACAAAAAGGCAAGAAAGTACTGCAGCCAAGGCCATATTCCAACCTTGGAGCCTCTCCTTGGTCTATCCTATTGCTCAGTGGGATTCTCCCACCCTTTCACTTGGTGATCATGTCTCAAGATCTTCAAATACGTGTGTTAGAATGGGGTGGGAGGGTAAGAGGGAAGATATTATTCATCAAGACTATAGGTTGCCAAAGTTTTCCCATGATGAAATAGGGATGAGAACTAATCCACTACCTGACGGTGTTGCCGTCTCCTGGAAGAACACAGAGAGGCCACGGCATCCATAGGCCATAAAACCCTAGAATGTTGTGTAGTCAGCAAGGAGAGCTATGTGGAAACAGTTACATTTCAAATAGGAACGGCTGTAGTAGAGGAATTTTCCCAATGCAGGAGCCTACGAAGAAGATACAATCAGCTTAGAAGAGATGTTTCTTCTCAGTCCTCCAGGGTGAATGGAGGTTTGGGAGGGGGCATTCCAGGAGCGGAGAGCCTTGAGTGTGATGACACCAAAGCTTGGGCATCATGGTTCATCCCAGAAACTTCAAGTAGTTCTGTGCGCCTGCTTCAGGGAGGAAGCAGTAGGAGACGAGGCAGGGCTGGCAATCATGGTCTAGAGTGTGCAACTCAAATGACAAAATGTCTAACCACACTTACTAAAGTTCAAAGAGCTATAAACAATTTTTATGAGATTTAAAATGTAGTTAAATTTATTGAAAAGTTAATTCATGCATAACCTTATCAAAAGGATGCCTTTAACAGATAAAAGAGCTGTGCCCAGACAGGAGGATCTGAAATAATGTCACTAACCACCTATTCTCTCTCCCCTCATCCCCTTCTCCTTTACAGTTTGCTATGCCAAAAATTTTGGCCCTACAGGCATTGGATTTGGAGGACTTACACAACAAGTAGAAAAGAAAGAATGAAAGGGGGACCATTTTCCAGGTCTTTCACCAGCCTAATGTGTTTGCTAAATAATCCTGCACTGATGGAAACCTTTCCCCCAAACATCCTCTCATTTGTAGGTGGATAGTGTTTCCTCTTCTCTTTACCCAAAGTTGGAAGAAAATTATTTAAAATTTAATTTGTGACAAAATACTTTATTATTTGTGATACCTTGGGTGGGAGAGGCAATAAATATATGTTTTAGTGGTACCTTATATGTTTCTGGATCTTATTTTTCAAATAGAGGGGAGTTTTCAAAAAATATAGAGGTAGTTCAAATGTACTAGCTGTGGAGGAAGTAGTGAATTTGGATGTCAACTCTGGAGGAGTGAGGAGGAAGGATCAACAGGCTAAGGCAGGCAGTCTTTCCAAAGCTGTCAGCAGAGCTTTTTCCTAGTTATTGCTAATGGAGAAGAAAGCAGGGGGGACAGGAGGAAACAGACAAGATGATAGCAAATCCTAAAAAGAAAATCAGAATTAATTAAATCTGCTGAAGAGTCGATTCTTTTGTTCTATCGTGGGTTTGGCAATATTACACATTTCTTGAAAACTCAGACGTGACAAGTGTGGAGTTTGCTTCTGTGTTATAAACTATATGGGGATGATTTGCTTTTATTCTAGGACAATTCTCTAGAGTTTAGCAATTTTCTGAAAACTTCTGGTACATCAAATTGCCAGGCCCACAAATGAAATGCAGCCAATTAAGAAAGTCTCTCTCTGCCTCCTCAGCAGGTTCTGAGTGACTCAAGCACTTGCATCTTCTTGGGCCTCTTGTTTTAACAACCACAGCACTTCTTGCAATACTGAATTATTCTGGATAAATGAAAGCAAATGAAAATCTGGTTCGAGTTATGAAACACTCAGCTAAATGAGGGCTTCTCATACACAACACTCCAAGTCCCAAGAAGGCTTTCTTTAAAGCGAGCATTTCCTCAGGGCTGCTTACATGCTTACGTGTCTTGGACAAGGCTCTACACTGACTTTAAAAGCAATAAACTCTCTTGATCCTATGGTTGAGGGTGAGACATAGGTGGAAAAACCACAGGACTATGCAAACTTCTCTGCAGCATTTTGATCCAATCATTCCCAGCTTTTTGCTCTCCCTCATCTTTCCTTGCTTCATTGCCCAAGCCTCCTTGATTCAGAGTCCAAAATGTTGCAATACATTCCCTCCTTCCCATTCTTTGGTATGTAACATATGAATTTCCACAAATTCAAGAAAAAAAAGGGGGGGGGGACCAGGTTTGCTGGTCCGATAGAGCCTGGTGGAACCCCTGAGACTATGGCCCCTCGCTACCCTTCAGGTCTGGAATTGAACCCACACCTGTGGCTTCCAGGCATATGAGTTGAACATTTACTTGAGGTAGATACACTCCTTGGAGAGAAAAATCATGGGAGAAAAAAGGGCTGTTAATGCACAGGGAGACAGTTCAGGGGGCAGGAGTGCATGGGGGGATGGACACTGGGAGGAGGTAACTATGGGGAGGAAGTGGGAGGGGAGCTGCTGCATTGAGTTAAATTGTAGTCAATGTCATGAGACAAAGTATATGTGAACTGCTGTATGGAAAGTGAATTTGCTCTGTAAATTTTCACCCAAATCACAATTTTTTTTTAAAAAAAGAAAGAACTTCCACAAATTCACCTCAGCCTTAAACTTTGCTTTAGACAATTATCTTCCACACAAGTTCCAGCTACACTCAGTGATTTGAAAAAAGAAAAAGTTGCCAGTTAACTCCAACTCAATGACTTGAAATAAAATCACATCACCAAGTCAATTCTGATACATACTGCCCCCTTGTGTTATAGAGTGGAACTATCCCATAGGGTTTCTTTTTGTTTTGTTTTGTTTTTCTTTTAATTTTTTATTGTGATTTGGGTGAAAGTTTATAGAGCAAATTCATTTTCCATACAGCAGTTCATACACATTTTGTTTCATGACATTAACTGCAATTCTCCACAATGTAACAGATCTCTTTCCACTTCCTCCCTGTAGTTACCTCTTCCCTGTGTCCTTTCCTATGAATTCCTGCAGCTTGAACTCTCTCCCTGTGCAAATACTGCCCTTCTGTTCTCCCATGATTAATTGTTCTAAGAAGTGTATCTACTTGATGTAAATAGTCACCCTATATGCCTGTCTATTGTTTGGCTGGAAGGCATGGCAGTGACTTCAGTACCAGACCAGAAGGGTAACTAGGGGCACAGTCTCGGGGACCTCACCAGGCTCTATCAGATCAATCCCATAGGGTTACTTGGTTGTAATTTTTTTTTTTGTAATTGTGATTTGGGTGAAAGTTTACAAATTCACTTTCCATACAGCAGTTCACATACACTTTGTCTCATGTCATTGGCTACAATTCACCACAATGCAACAGCTCCCCTCCCACTTCCTCCCCATAGTTACCTCTTCCCAGTGTCCATCCCTCCATGCACTCCTGCCCCCTGAGCTGTCTCTCTGTGCATTAACAGCCCTTTTTTCTCCCATGATTGTTCTCTCCAAGGAGTATATCTACCTCAGGTAAATGTTCAACTCATGTGCCTGTCTTCTGTTTGGCTGGAAGCCACAGGTGTGGGTTCAATTCCAGACCTGAAGGGCAGCTAGGGGTCATAGTCTCAGTGGTTCCAGCAGGCTTTATCATCTTGGTTGTAATCTTTACGAAGCAGTTCACTAGGCTTTCTTCCATAGTGCCACTGGGTAGGTTTGAACAGCCAACCTTTAGGTAAGAAGCTGATCACAAAACGCTCTGCCACCTTTTCAATGTCCTGAAGCTCTCCAAAGATGCCAAGTACCTTCACAACCCTATCAGACCTTCGCTGATGCTTTTTTTTCCCCCTCCCGTAAAACACCTGGAAGATCCCATTTTTTCTCCTAATCCCACTTCTTAGCCTGGTGAACTTGTATTAACCAAGTCACAGATCAAATGCCATCTCCTCTGCAAAATCTTTCCTCACTACCCGAGCAGAATTAATCCATCTCTATGCCCCCACAGCTGGTACATAACTAACATAGCACCTGTCTCATTGCATGTTGTTATGTGCCCTCGAGTCGGCCCCGACTCATAGTGACCCCTCCTTGGGTTTCCGAGGCAGTATCACTACGGAAGTAGGATTGCCCAACCTTCCTTCCGAGGAGTGGCTGGTGGGTTTGAACCGCCAGCCCTCTGGTTAGCAGGCAAGTGTCTTAGCCACTAGAAAGGTTGAATTCCTGTTTGCCTAGTTAAAATGTGCGGTGCTTGTGTTCACAGTGCTTGACAAATAGTATACTTAATAAACATTTGTTGAGTGAATAAAGTTGGCAAGAACACAGGTTAGGTTAAATGCAAATTCAGCTAGAATTCAAAGGAAGAGATTTTTATATACTGGAGAGAAAGAGTTTAGAAAGGAAAAAACAAAACAAAGAAATAACCTTCTTGTGGCCCAACAATATTCATGTTGCTCCTCTTCCTTCTGGGCACCCTGCTTTCTGCTATTTCCCAGAGTTGACTGGGAGATGTGACTACGCTTGGCGATTGGAGGCCTGGCCTCCAAGACCTCTTGGAAGAGTTTCCTTTCTTTCTTTCCACATCTCTGGATGCAGAAGATCCCGTGGACACTGAGGCCCTGGAAAATGGCACACTCGCTGGAAAGAAGCTTTGGGTCAATGCATGGAATGATACTTGCTAACAGTCAATTGAACTGTGATGTGAGGGAAAAATAAACCTTATATTGTGTTGAACTACTGAGATTTGGGTCAGAGTTATTAATTTGTGTTATTTATTTAGTTTCCTAAGATTGCTATTAAAAAAAAAAAAAAGTACCACAAACTGGGAAGCTTAAAACAACAGAAATTTACTCTTCCATAGCTCTAGATGTCCAAAAATTAAGGTGCTGAGAGGGCCATGCTGCCTCTGAAGCGCCTAGTAGAGGCTCCTTCTTTGCCTCTTCCAGCTTCTGGTAGCTCTGAGCTCCTTGGTTGTGGCTGCATAACTACAGTCTCTGCCCCCATCATCACACGGCTACCTTCCCTGTGTCCACCTGTCTCTGTTTCTCTTCTCCTTTTTATAAGGAGACCAGTAATATTGGATTAAACACCTTATTCCAGTATGATTTTTTTAGCCTAACTAATTACATCTGAAATGACCCTATTACCAAATAAGGTCACATTCTGTGGTTCCAGGAAGGTTATTTTAAGGGACACTGTTCAATCCTGTATAAGGTATGTGAGAGGGTGGGTATAAATCAAGTTCAATTTCAATTCTGGACATGTTAGGTATGAGATGTCTATTAGATACTTAAGTGGATATGTTGAAACTGTCTGGAGTTTGAGAAAGCAGTTTGGACCAGATAAAAATCTGGGGTTTTGACATATAGATGGTATATACCAACATGCAATTGAATGAGATTACCAAGGAAGAGGAAGTGAGTTTAGAGAACAGCAAGGTCGAAGATTGGGCCCTGGGGCATTCCAACCTTAAAAGGCTGTTTTCTGCCATTGAGTAGATTCCCACTCATAGTAACCCTATTTGACAGAGCATAACTGTCCCATTGGATTTCCTACGCTGCAATCTTTTTTAATTAACTTTTTTGTGTGTGATTTGGTTGAAAGCTTAATTTGGTTTTCCATTCAACACTTCTTACACATTGTGATTCATGCTATCGATTACAATCCCAATGTAACAGCACTCCTTCTCCTTCCTCCCTTTGTCCTTCTTTCCTATCCATTCCTGCCTTCTGAGCTTTATCACTGGGCAAATGCTGCCCTTTCGATATTTCATCTGATTGTTCTAAGGAGTATGTGTACCTTCCTGGCATTACTCTTCACCTTGTAAGTCTATTGTTTGGCTGGAAGTTGAGCCATGGGAGTGAGTTCAGTTCTAGGCCTGAAGGATGATTGAGGGCCAGTCTCAGGGGTTTCAACAGTCTCTATTACACCAGTAAGCCTGGTCTTTTTCATTATTTTGAGATTTGTTCCACATTTTTCTCCTACTCTATCCAGGACCTCTTATTGTGTTCTCTTTCAGAGTGGTTGGCAGTGGTAGCCAGATACCATCTAACTGTTCTGGTGTCCGGGTCATGGGGGCTGAGGTTCACATGGTCAACCAGTCGCTTGGACTACTTGTTTACATGTAGCTTTGATCTTCTTCACTCTTCTTTGCTCTGGATGAGAACTGACCAACAGTTGCATCTTAGATGGCCACTTGCAAGCTTAAGACCCCAGTCACTATTCACCAAAGTAGGATGTAGAACAGTGTCTTTGTGAACTATGTTATGCCAATTCACTTTGATGTCCCCCACAATAGTCCTGATGGAGCTCACAGTCCCAGCTACCCATTCTCTTAAGTTGTTCGGTTATGGCTAAGTTTTCATAAATTTGCCCCGTCAGCTCTATTACATACATGGACATTTTTACAACACATACATATACATATGTAGAAATGTCATTTGCTATCCCTATACATGGTCGTGGGTATAGTACCATTCAACTACCCATACCCAATCATCTTGCCTGTCTACCTATGTATCCACTTGTAGATTAATGTTTATTACTGATAATGCAGGATTTTGTGTGTAATAGTGTTTACCTTTGTTATTTAATTCTTGTGCACCTCTGTGTCTTCCTTTCCCTTAGTGATATTGTACTAGTCACCCGTTATTTGTATACTTTCTTTTCATCCAAATTGGTATGTGTCTCTTACCTACTTAGTAATTTTTCCTCCTTTCCCACCCCTGGTAACATCAAATGTTTCTTTCCATGTATAAACTTTTCCTTGAGTTTTTAGAATTGTGGACTCATACAGTATTTGTCCTTCTGTGATCAACTTACTTCATTCAGTATAATGTCCTTCAAGTTCATCCACATTATGTGTGATTTTGCAGATTCATCATTATTCTTTATCATTGCATAGTATTCCATTGTGTTTATGTACCATAGTTTGCTTATCCATTCATCTGCTGATGGGCACTTTGGTTGTTTCCATCTCTTTGCTACTGTGAATAGTGCTACAATGAACATGGCTGCACATATATCTAGGCTGTAATCTTCATGGGAAGAGATCATCAGGTCATTTTTCTTGCAGAGTGGCTGGTGGTTTCGAGCCACCCACTTTTACTTAGCAGTCAAGTGCTTAATCATTGTGTCAATAGGGCAGGGAAACAGCAAAGGAGGTTGAGAAGGAGTAACTCGTGAGATTAGGTGGAAACTGCAGTAAAGCCTTCTAGAGGCCACATAATTTACTGAAGACAATTGTATTAAGGAAAGGGTGAAATGCTGCTGGCTGGTTAAGTTAGGTGAAGTGTCTAGATGACCACTGAAATTAGCAACATGAAGTATACTGTTGTGCTTGACAAAAGCAGTTTCCATGGAGTGCCGGGGGTGAAAATCTGACTGCAGTGGGGTTAAAGAAGAAGGGGATGAGGAATTGGAGATATTGACTACACATAATTTTTGCCAGATTATTTCTACTGACAGAAGATCAAAGAAATAGCTCTTTAATCTAACATTCAAGGCCTCTGATAACTTGGCCTGAACCGACATTTCTAATTTATTAACCAAAGACTACAGCCTTCAAGGATCCTGCAGACCTAGCCAGTCTTGGTTCTAAATATACTTTAGGCTTTCCTGACTTTGTCTTTACTCATATAGTTCTCTCCATGAGAACTCATATTTCCAGAATAAATGTCACTGACAGACACTTTCCAATGCTGTATTTTCCACAAACAACTCTAATCATCAAAGCCTCTAAACTCCAACACCCTTCTTAGGGCTTTTAATATTCCCTATCTTATACTCTGTGAAAGAGATCCATATTTGTACCTGTTTCAAAGAAAGGTGATCCAACAGAATGGGGAAATTACTGAACACCATTAATATCATACACAAGTAAAGTTTTGCTGATATTTCAAAAATGGTTGCAGCAGTACATCAACAGAGAACTGCTAGAAATTTAAGCCAGATCCAGAAGAGGATGTGGAATGAGGGAAATCATTACTGATGTCAGATGGATCTAAGTTGAAAGCTAAGAATACCAGAAAGATGTTTACTTGTGTTTTATTGACTATGCAAAGGCATTTGACTGTGTAACACTGCAAAGAATGGGAATCCCAGAACACTTAAATGTGCTCATGAGGAAACTGTACATAGACCAAGAGGCAGTTGTTTGAACAGAACAAAGGGACACTGCACGGTTTAAAATCTGAAAAGTTATGTGTCAGGGGTTGTAACTTTTTGCCATACTCACTCAACCTGTATGCTGAGCAAATAATCTGAGAAACTAGACTATATGAAGAAGAATGTAGCATCAGGACTGGAGGAAGACTCATTAACCTCTGCTATGCAGATGACACAACATTGCTTGCTGAAAGTGAGGAAGACTCCAAGCACTTACTGATGAAGATCAAAGACTACAGCCTTCAGTATGGATCACACCTCAACCAACATAAAGAAAACAAAAATACAACTGGGCCAATAAGCAACATCATGATAAATGGAGAAAAGATTGAAGTTGTCAAGAATTTCATTTTGTTTGGATCCACAATCAACACTCATGGAAGCAATAGTCAAGAAATCAAACGACATATTACACTGGGCAAATGGCACAGGACAGCACAGGACCAGGCAGTGTTTCATTCTGTTGTACACAGGATTGCCATGAATTGGAACTAACTAGGCACCTATAACCACCACCACTATCGCTTTAAGCTATAGTTTCATTTATCTTAGCTTGCCCTCTACCCTGTAAACTCCATGACTAGTATGCCTAATTAAATATCTTACAGTCTACAAAACCCAGCATGGTGCTCAGTAAGTATTTGTGGAATAATTTAAAAATTAGTGAAATGTGTTTTCCAGGTTACATACCAATTAGAAGCATTGGAATATATGCACTATTATGAAATGTGACTGTAGAGTGGCCACCTCACTTAATACCTATGTGACCTTGGAGAAGATGTAAAACTTTGTTAGCCTTTAATTTCCTTATCTGCACAACAAAGGAGACTAGATCCTTGAGGAAGTGTAAGGTTAATGCAGTTAGAGGACAAAGTGTGGTCTAGAGTGATACTGGTAAACAAAACACGGTTACATCATCATTCAGGGTCTTGATGAGAATTTTAGATTTCACCCTAAGAGCAATGAGAACTCACTTCCAGGTTCTCAGTAGGAATGTGACATGTCCAGAGGCATAAATATATACAGACTCAAAATTAAGGATGGCTTAGTATTTGTTCTGGAAAAAGGAAAATTAGCAATTATAGTCATTCTAGTCTTATATTTTGAGACCAATTAACTTTTAAGACTTCCTATGTTTAGTTTCTCAGTAAGACAAAGATGAAGTTAAACCTTGCTCATTGGTGTTAGCAGTGATCTCAACTGATTCCTGGAACTATGAATAACTTCTTTATGCCCTGTGGAAATGTTTTTAAGATTCTGCAAGTGTACGTGTCAGAAACTAAATCTCAACTACCAAAAAAAAAAAAAATTTATTGTGTGATATATAACAAATAATTTATCAAAAATTACAAGTTTAAAGAATAGAACTATTTTGAAACAGCCAATACAGTATCTGAAAATATTCCATTTTATCCATAATTAGGGAATATCATCTCCAAAAAAAGGAACTTGTATTTTCTGGTGAAAAATATAAACGTTTTTTAGATGGGTGCCAACATCATCCATCTTGCCAAATCTAAAAAGGTGCAATGCCTTTCTTGAGAACTTGTTTTCCCCAAATGGCTTTTAAAACCACCTGTGTTTTCCTTTGGGCTTAAGGGAACCTTAAGTCACTTCATTTTTGGACCACAAGGCATCGTTATAAACAAAAACAAGTCAGAGTGAGCGTTTGGGTACTTTTCTTCAAACTGAACGAAGAACTTTCTCTTTAGCTGGATGAAAGACCATGGTGTACTGTGATGTCCAATCTACCATACAGGGCTTCACCAAGCCAAAGCAGCCACACTGAAAGAAATCTGCAAGGTTCTGAGTAAATCCAAGGCTGCCAAGAAAAGAAGAGAACATGTTTCACTATATTTCCTGTTTAGCTCTTGACATTCATTCAAACCATAAATGGTCACTGAGAAGCTGCAATGTGCAATGTCCTCTGAAGATCCTGCAGGAATCAGACATAGTTCCTGTGCTTATTAAGAGACCCTAAAACCGAAGCCTACTTCCATTTCTGCTTCTTCCCAGCAATTTAATTAGGCTTTTTATCATCCCTTCACCCTGGGTGCCTCCCACACTGGATTGGTCACTGTTTCCTTCCATTCCCATTGTCCTAATTCAGACTTTGATCATCTTAGGCCTAGACAACTACAATCAGCAAGATGGATTTTTCCTTAAACCCCCTCTAAATGTGGAATAAATATGTATTCCTTTTTTCAAACCACTAAGAAAGAGACTTTATCACTGTTGATGTGAAACAACCACTGTAAGCCTTATGCTACTCCCCACTTCCCATCACTTTAGCCGTCTCTTTCAAATAAAGTTCATTTCTCTCCCCTCCAAATACACACTGTAGTCATATCTCAGGCTCTGATTTCCTTGCCTAACAGCCTAACAGTTTCATCTTGTACCATGAGTATGCTTTAAAATAGACGGCTCAAGAGATATGCGGTAAGTGCTCAAATCCCTAGAGGGCTCTGGGTCACCTCAGTAGCACCCATGGTCTCCACAACCTTGATAAATGTGGCAGGGAGATAAGCTTCAAAGTCTGATCTTTCATGTCATAAGATGGTGGCCCTCCTACAAATGCTCTCATTTTCAACTGAGGACAGGTTTATACAAATAATGCTCTGGGGAGGAAAATACCCAAATGTGAAAAACATGCTTCTCTCTGAGACAGGGGAACACGTGAAATCTAGGGCTTAAACAGCTACTGGTGATAGAAAGCAAGGTTGAAAATCTTGGCAAAGGACACAATCTAACATTTTCTACAGAGAACCGTGTGGCTGGCTTTCTCAGCCACATGCTTAATCATCTCACCTTGACTTCATGCCAGCAACACACAACCTTGTGACCATGTGGATTGACTGGAGAGATTCCCCATCTTGGCAAAACTTCAAAGTCACTAACCATTTGTGCTGAGTCCAGGAGACTAAGTTCCAAATTCTTACCACCATGGGGCTCTTGACCACAGAGTATTATCTGGTAATGACCCTACCACCTGCCCCACCTGTCACTCAAGTTTACTAGAAAGAAGGGTTTGAGTAATCCTGCCAGATGGCAATTTAGAGAAGAGCAGCATGGCCATGGGTGGGGCTGGTCACTAGGTTGGAAATCCAGTGGCTAGGCTAAGATCTTCCACAGGGCTTACTGTTGAGTGTATCTCACTTACTTGTATGGTGTCCTCCTGAGGGACAAGGTCTGTTTCATATGCCTGCTCTGTTTCATCAGGCTGGTTCTCTCATGGGAGGTCAAGCCAAGAAAAGCAATCTGTAAGAGAAGATTGGAAGGTACATAAAAACACCACTACCTTATGGCTCCATCACTCTTGCCAGGGCATTAGGAAACAAGACACTGGAAGATATTTAGTGCTGCATCAAAGACAATACCACTGAGCCTTCTAACCAAAAATCATAGCCAGGGCAAAGAGTCAGCAGCTATAAACTGTACTCTTCTCCGTAAATCTAGTGGCTGAGCATTGTGTGTGTGTGTGTGTGTGTGATTTTATTAAGCTTCAAGAAAGCACTGTACATGAGAGTCATGAAGTAATTGCTTTATTAATTCAAGCCGTGGCTTATGGCCATGGTTAGATTCTCATTTAGCTTGCAACGTTTAGGTAAATAAAACAATTTAAAGTCAGTATCTGTACAAATATTTCAGTTTGTTTGGTCCTCCTATTATCTCTTTGAAAAGGGCCAAACGAAATACCTAACAATCTTAAGCGAAGAACATTTAAAGCCATAAATCTGGGCAAGGATAAGAATTAACAGTAACTTATAAGCTCCCAAGTCACTAAAAACCACTACCATTCAGTGAGTTATCTCATTTAATCCTGAATACAACTCAAGCACTAAGTTCCTTATCTGTAAAACAGAGGTCATCCACATTGTCCTGAACAGACTGTTTTAAAGACTAGAGATAGTGTATTTAAAATACTTAGTGTGGCGATTAAGAGAGGCGCAGTCAATGATCCAAGGGTACATAGTCAGAAAGTGGCAGAGCTGGGGCTGACACCTCAGTTAGTGAGAACAAAGTCCACTATCAGTCTACACTTGACTTGCTACAGTCAAAATCATGACACTTAAGAAATGAAAACTTTCAAATAACTAGACTGTTTTGTAAATTAAAGATAAGTCAGAAAACAACTCTGCTCTGAATCCTTTAGTTATTATCCACACCTTTTAATTTTTCTGCCTTAGAAAAAGTATATATTTTGTCTAAGTATATTAACTTATATTAAGTTTTCTTTAAAAATTAAGCATCTTAGAGTCTTATATACTTGGACTTGTTCTAAGGGTCCAAATAGAAGAAAGAGAATTAGATTGATGTTCTGGTCTTAGGTTCTACTTTTAACTCCATCTCTTACTAGCCCTACGGCATTTAACATTTACTAGGCTTGGGTTTCTCATTTATGACACAGAAACAGTACTTTGGCACTGATTAAACCTCAAATGTTCATGAAGAAATAGCTGTGAATGTGCTTGGGAAAATGTAAGGCACACATACATATTAGGCTTTATTAATGACACTTATCAGCACTGATGCTAACATCCATTCTCACTGCCTGTCTGTCAATGTTAGAAGGAGAGGAGATTAGGATGAGTGTTTAGAGACCTCAGATCAGTCAAATATAATTAAGTCAATCCCTTTCTTTACCAATTTTTCTCATTTTTGGAATTTGTTACTGTTCTGGTTACCTAGTACCAATCTGACAAGAGTATACCACAAATGGGATGGTCTTAACAAACAGGAGTTTATTCTTACAATTTGGAGGCTTTAAGTCCAAGTTCAAAGTGCCAGGCTCTATGGGCTAGGTGAAAGCCCTTCAGCCTTGGGGTCCAGCTCTGCCTCCTGCTCCTAGCCCACTGGAGCTAGAGGCATTTCTTCACTCAGCTGCTGGCTGCTGAGGCTGAGAAGCCCCAAGGCTGACAAGTAAAAAGGCACAGTCCCAATGTTACCAAACCACACAGCAGGCCATTAACTTAAGTCCATTGTACGTCCCAAGGTCAGCAGAGCATAGCAGGTTGCTGAGCAACGACATGGCTACATGCAGGATCCAAGCATGCCGTAGGCTAGAGACCATCCCCAAGGCTTCTTCTTATATACAGGAAGCAGACCACATCCCAAAGGCAGCTACTCAGCTGCTTGTGGTAGATCTCACCATGGAGTTGACTGCCAGTCTCATCATGGGGAATAACTACCACCAGCTGGCCAGCCACTCAACCAGTCCCAGCAAGTTGATACACAAACATAACTAACACGGTTACTTTTGAGTAAAAGTAGAATACATCTTGTTTTTGTTAAATAAAGCTCTCTTTCAGCAAGCAAGGTTGTGTCATGTGCATACTGCAGGTTGTTAATGAATCTTCCTCCAATCCTAATGCCTGTTCTTCTTCATATAGTCTAGCTTCTCAGAGTATTTTCTCAGCATACAGACTGAATGAGTATTATGAAAGGATACAATCCTGACACACACCTTTCCTCATTTGAAACCATGCAGTATCCCCTTGTTCTGCTTGAATGACTGTCTCTTAGTCTATGAACAGGTTCCTCATTAGTACAATTAAGTGTTCTGGGATTCCCATTCTTCGCAATGCTATCCCATAGTATGATCCACATAGTCAAATGCCTTTGCATAGTCAATAAAACACAAGTAAACATCTTTCTGGTATTCTCTGCTTTCAGCCAAGATCCAACATTAGCAATGATATCCCTCATTTCATGTCCTCTTCTGAATTGGCTTAAACTTCTGGCAGTTCACTGTTGATGCACTGCTATCATCGTTTTTGAATTATCTTCTGCAAAATTTTACTTGCATGTGATATTAATAACAGTGTCTGATAATTTCTGCACTTTTGGTCACTTTTCTTTGGAATGGGCACAAATAGGGATCTCTTCCAGTGTATTTGTCAGAAATAGGCATTATTACCCACACTTTACAGACAAGGAAACAGGAATTCAAGAGTGGTCAAAAGGCATGCATAGGCTCACAGAGGAAATGGCAGAAATGGAGCTAGAATCTAAGACTTCTGACTTGAATTCTAAGTCTTTCTACCTCACTCTATAGTTTACTAGAAATTTTACTCAAAGGCAAAATAAGACTGTTAAATACCTGAAACAGCTGATTAAATAACAAAAATGTTGACCATGAGAAGTGGAAAACGGCCAGCATGAAGATATACAAAACCCAAGGTGAACAGGCCACAATCTGATTGAGGTAGGTCCATAATCCATCTTGTTTGAACGTTGTGGTGCAATGATTGGACCAATCTGTGAATTCACAAAAAAGAAATCCATTGTAAAAAAAGATAACAAACTAGTGATCATTCTCCAGAAGGTTAAAATCATTGCAGTACTATTCAGAAAGAACAGAAAATAAGACATGGCAGCACCTGTGAGAACTCAAGTCTAGGATTTTATCTTCCAAATGATAGCTCAACTACCAAAGATGAGGAAATGGTGCACTGGTGCTAATTCAGGCTATGATAATGCTGTATCTGTAGTTGATCGTGAAGGAATAAAAGTGAAAATGTTCCATAAAACCGTCACTAGAATTAGCAGATTCAGCATAAAAATGTACTGGCAAGAAGTTAATAGCTCAAGGACCTGAAAGCTGAAAATGACTGTGTTTAATAAAATACTCTGCCTGTATGTTAAGGTTTTCCTTATTTAGGCAATAGAAATATGAACTATAAGATCAGTTTGAAAATCTGAAATAAAAGCCCTTTCCTAAAATAACCTCCCCCTTATCCATGTTGCATCAAGTTATGGGTGTATTACAGGACTGAATAGAAACTCTGTTGAAGATTCAGATCAACAAGCCATTGCTGTGAGCACAAGAAACCCATTAAGCACCTAGATATTGTTGGTATATCACAGCTCCTAGCACAACCCAACAGTGTGCAGGGAGCCTGGCACAGTGTACTTCTGCATCAGCACCAGAACTGATCCTGCACAGGGAGAAAGCCAGGCTACAGACTTTGTGAGACAGACACCCCCAGACAAAGAAGGCAGAGTAAGAGCATGTTCACAGCTCAGTTTCTCCCCAAGAACATCTACATACCAGCTAAAAGAGGAATCACTTATGGCCTTCATGACATTGAGTCCTCACCCATGCAGCTGAGAGCAGCAATAAAGAGAAATGCAGGTAGAAGCAACAGAAACACATTCCAGGTTATAGAAATCAAATGACTTTTACAGGCATTATGACCATGCATAAGTGGTGGATTCCTTTTGAAATGAGAATTCTGTAGATTTGCACCATGAAGTTTCATAAATGCCTTTGATTATTTGATAAATAGCTTCAGACATTTCTTGAAAACAACACTTAAGAGCTCCTGGGACAGGAACAAAATGAGTCCATGACTTTACCATCAAATCTCTATTTTAGTCCTAAAATTCTAGTTTCTTTTTGAGTCTCATTTGATTCCCAGCCATCTTTCATGAACATATGCTGGAAGCACCATTCTCAGAGCAGTCATCCTAGAGTGACAATGAAGGTAACAAGTTAAGGCAAATTACACTCTCTCCAGAGCTTCTCATTAGGACAGCAAAGAAAGATGCAGCCCATGCACCTGATATCACAAAAGAGAGTATCATTTCCAACAGCAGGTGGAGGAAACAGCTGTTGAGTGGGCAAGCATATCTACTTTCTTTCCGCCTATGGGTTTCTACTGCTTCCTTGTGGTAATTTTTCTGGTAACATGGCATGACCTCAAACTGAAGTTTTTATAGGACCGACAGATTTAATAGCAAAGATACAGTTGCAAGTGCTCGTGTGCATAATCTATGCAATGTACCATTTTACCTTACTCTAATGCATTCCTATCAGGCGGTCACTGGCTAATGCCAAGGAACTCAGTACTGTTCTAAGTCAACCTTTTCATTTTTAGATAGCTCTGACAGTTATGAAGTTCTTCCTGACCCTGATATAAACTCATTCGCTCTGTAACTTGTAGGATGCTGACCCTTTCTCAGTTTAGCTTACTATGCGCCCTGAAAACAGACTGCATAAAAGATGAAACGGACAGAGGCTGTTCAGAGCCAGGAGATGCTATTATAGCACATAAGGAGGAAGGTGTACAGCAGGGCCATAGCAACAGGAGTATTAATGATAAACAAAGGAGGTGGGATGATAGTGAGAACTCAGTAGACAAAAAGGAGCACAAGTTTGTTTGTCCTGTCTGTGAAACAGTGCTAACTATGGCCTCACTCAGTGTAAAGATAAATTGTTAGAACACAAATGGAATGAAACTAACAAAATATGTCCAGGTAGTCTACACAGTTGTAAGTGGATGTAAGGTAAGACTGCTTCTCAGAAACAAAACATAATATAAAAATTGATTCAGGTCAGAGAAAAAATATGAAAAGGAGAGAAGAATCAATGTATGTAATAAAATAGCAACTTGGAAAGGCTGAATGTGATGAAAAACTTCTTCTGTCCTTATCAATACGGTTTTATGCTGGCCACAGACACCCAACAAGGTGACTATTTTTAGTGAAGAGAGAGAAGAGAGGAGACACAAGAGTGGTGTAGAGTCTGGCTCCACTCCCCTAGGATCGAGTCCAAGAGACAAGTTAAGTTTGTCCACAGACCAACTTAAAAAGGTTTTCCAGGAATATGCCTGACTGTCAGGACTTAAAAGGACAGCTCTTTCAACAGAAGAACGGTCAAAAATCTTTTATTTCTTAAACCACAGGGCATAATCTAAAAGGTTTAAAAATTCTAATGCTCAGATTACTGGTGGTGTTCACCAAGAACTGACCTCTGGGGTCACAACCTTGTTACTATTTGACCCATTTGTGATGGAGACAGTTATATTCATCTACAAAAGCATTCCCAAATGATCAGAGACCTAAGACCTCAGGTAGGAAAGGGGCTGACAAGGGCTGAAGCCCTCTTCATGTCTATGGCAGGGTCAAAAAGAACCCATTTCACATACACGTTAAATAACAATTCCTAAAAATGAAATCAAAACCAAAACAAAACTTGTAATACTGGATGTTTCTTGGGAGGGGAAGTGGGAGTCTGGGAGACCAGTGTAAGAGGAAATTTCTCTTAAAAACGAAACAAAATTTAAACTAAAGAGAATCAGAGAGACAGAGGAGGAGGAGAAAAAGGGAGAAGGAAGGAAGGAGATTTGTTGGTCTTGGGACGCTAAGGGAGAAACAAAAATATTCTAACATCTTCCTGAATTACTATAGATTTTAGCTCAAAACAAACTAGTACTTTACTGGCACAAGTCTAAGACTCGAGCATGAATATAATAGGAGGGCAAATGGAAACAGATTAGAAATGAAGCCTCTGTCTCTAAAACCAAATTCTCCCAAAGCCTTTAAAATAAAGAAAGAAAGAAAGAAGGCACTCTGGTGGAGTAGTGGTTAAGGCATTCGGGCACTAACCAAACGGTTGTCAGTTGGAACCCACCAGTCACTTCACAGGAGACAGATAAGGCAGTCTGCTTCCATAAAGACATATAGCCTTTGAAACCCTATGGGGGCAGTTCTACTATGTCCTACAGGGTTACTATGAGTTGGAATCGACCTGATGGCAGTGGGTTTGCAAACAAATTAGGTGTCTTAAGGTGGCGTAAATGGTTAAGTGCCTGACTACTAGCTCACAGGCTAGCAGTTCAAACCCACTCAGAGGTACCTTGGAAAACAGGCTTGTCGATGTGCTTCTGAAAGGTCACAGCCTTGAAAACTCTACAGAGCACAGTTCTACTCTGCACACAAGGGATTGTCATGAGTTGGAATTGACTTGAGGGCAAATAACTACAGTAACAACAACCAAATAAAGTTTGAACAAATAATAAACTCAAGTGCTACAGATTTTTCTAGCTAGGAAACCCATTCTAAGCTCTGAAGTATGTAGGCATGCAATTCTTAAATACTAATCAAAATCCTTCTTGCTTCAGTTTAAACTCTGCCCTCCTCAGTTGATCACAGCTGCCTCAGAACAGCTGGCTGTCATTCCTTATATGAAACCCCTGGACTCTCTTTCCACTGAAAATTTCTTTTCCCTTCTCAGGAGCAGAGAATATGTAGTCTAATGTTTTCTTCTAAGTTATTATTTCCAACCTTTCAATAATTGTTATGACTTTCCCATCAATTCTTCTCTAAGTTGTGACTTGATATTTATCACATGGCACATGCTTTCAATGCTTAGTTCCTTAATTACTGTAACTTCCAACCCCCAATCATGACCTTTTCTGTTTCCTGTTTTAATTGCTTACCATTTTCTTGCTTTGTAACTGGAGCAACTGATTTTCCTTTTCTTCACTGGGGAACAACCTGCACTTATTTTAAATGAATTTCAACCTTTGACCACTTCTCACATTTATCAGTTTTAGAGTACATCTCTTCCAAAGTAGTGAAAACTAACCTCTTCTAGCATTTCTTGCAGCTTCCCAATGCTGAGAGAGTGTTAGAGTCATCTGCTTCATTTTTTTTTTTTTTTTTTTTTAGGGGCATGGTTTACAGTCACCTGGCCAGAATGTGATATACAAAGGTTTACAAGGAAAAACAATGGTGGGTGTGGGTCCATGTACTTGTTCTAAGAAAAATTATACTTACAGACAAAAGAGTCATATATAATCCAGTCACACACGACAGAAAGGAAAAATAAAAAGAATATGTAATAGTGATGGTTGCCAAAGCCTAAATCAAAAAGAAAAAAACACACTTAGTATTTCCTACAATGGTTTTCCATATCAATACCATATTAACCATTTTCCTGTCAAAAGCTTTCACCAAGTAAAACAGAAATAGGGCTGTTGCTTTGCTTTTTAAATACTATTAAACAAAACAAAACAAAAAAACAGTTCTGATATGTCATAGTCAAATGTCCATGCTCATGGAAGTAACTCATATTTATTCATTATTTACCTTAAAGAAGGCACTTTTAACAAGAGAACAAACTTTATAAAGCAAAACAGCTCCAGGCTGGTCTACATTGGGTTGGAATGAGAGGGGAAGGCAGGATTTGGGGTAAATCAAACCATTCCTTCTTTCCTTCCATGTACAATCTCTGAACAACAAATACTGACTTCATTAGGGAATCAGAGAAAATGAAGCTAAGGAACTAGTGATGTTGCAGGAGACTGGATGTAGCGAAAGAGGGGTAATGAAGGCTGAGAAGGATCTACAGAAGAGAGAAATGGGTAAGGGTGCCAGGCAGCCAAACCCTCCTCTTGCACACCTACTCTGATACGTACTGCCACCTAGATGTTGGCCATGGAAGGATCTCATGCTAATGACACAAAAGCTCCTCAGATGTCACATCATGTTCCCAGCTTCCCCTGAGGCAGGAAAGCCCAGCAGAAGGAGCAATATTATTGGATTAGGAGACACAAATTTAAGGGTTACTAGTTGTGTGACTTTCAGTAAATTCCAGCTTCTCTGATCCACTGTCTTACTTTACTATGAGGATAATACCACTTCTGTCTATTTGACAGAACTGTGGGACCCAAACAAGATGATGCCTGAGAAAACACTGTCTTAACTGCAGTGTGGTAACAATGTATAAACTTATTTTGTCTTTCTACTGCCAGTCAGAGCTGCCCAGCATAATGCCAACCATCTAATCTTTATGATGGGATGGAGCCCATAAAGCTTGGCACCCCAGGAATTATCTATCTACCTGTTTCCCAGAAGCAATAGAGAACATCAACATCCACCAAGGAAACTTGATTGAACCGAGACACCCCGTTCATCAGATTATAACAGTAGATTCTCTCCTGAGGACTCGTTACCATATCTTCTTTGCAGTTTTTCATGGCTTCTTTTATGATGTTGTGTTGTTGTTGTTATGTGCCGTCGAGTCGGCCCCGACTCATAGCGACCCCTCCTTGGGTTTCCGAGGCAGTATCACTACAGAAGTAGGATTGCCCAACCTTCCTTCCGAGGATTGGTTGGTGGGTTTGAACCGCCAGCCTTTTGGTTAGCAGTCAAGTGCTTTTAGCCACTATGCTACCAGAGCTCCTTCTTTTATGATAGTTCAGAGGAAATCCAGGGCTGCTGATCAGGAAAAGGAATGTTCCTCCCTAGGTCAAAGGCAATGCCCAGATCTCTGCCATCTCTAGTTTAGCCCTACCAAGTGTAGAAGCTGAATAAGAGAGACAAGTCCTAAAATATGGGAAAAGCATGGCATTTGGAGTGGAAGATTGCTACTTACTTAAGGGTGACCTCAAGCAAATAATTTCACCTTTTACACTTTTTCAGCTCTAAAATGGAGACAATAATACCAACCTCACATGTGCACTATGATGATCAAATGGGATATGATAGGTGAAAGTGCCTTATAAACTCTAAAACACTACACAAATAATGATAATTATTATCATCAACCTCGACAATCAATTTCCCAAAAGTCTCATACCACAGAGATGATTCTCTGACCAGGAAGAGCTACTACAAAACAGACCCCTTGGATGCCATTCCTCTTTTCCTATGAATCACACATATAACTAAACATATGCTTAATTTCATAGTGGAAAATGAAACATTAAGGCTCTCACCTATGCACCGTCCAGTCCACAGGCAGTGTTGATCATATCGAGCCACACAGGAGTTGCATACATGGCAATGGTGGGACCTTAATGGCTTCCGTATCTAAATGGGCAATTAAGAGAGGCCTAAGAAAAATCCCATGTTTCAAAGTGGTAATAAATCACAAGCAAAATTTTAATCCTAAGGTATGAAGAGAGTAGCACGAATCATGCCAATTAGACCATCAACTCACATACAGGCTCTGGAATGCTTTCTGACTATTTATTTCCATATGTCTACTTTCATTGGGCCATTGCCAAGGGAGATCTGCATTCCAGAACACAGCCACAGTAAGGGGAAATGAGGGAGTACCTTACAGTAGAAGGAGCACTGGACTAGGAAAAAGGGAATGCGAGTTCCAGTTCTGGCTCTGCCAATAACTTGGGAAAGTAACTTCCTTCCTGTAGGCTTTGATTCATCAATTGCAAAGTGAGCAGTTTACTAAATGGTTTCTAGGGTCATCATGAGCCACTGATTTGAAGTTACTTCCAATACATGCTTCACGACAGTAAAAACCAAACAAAACACACTATGGATAATTCATAAAGAGAGTTAACCACAGGCAACTTTAAAAGGTTACAAACATTATTATTTCACATGTTCAAGGCAGAAAATTGTTCTACCAGTATTTCAAAATTAGAACCTGATAGAAACAAAAACGTACAAATACACCATGGAGATTTGACAAATGCTTACGTGTACAATATTATTAAGAATTTGCTTTTAGGGAGAAAAATGTGGAACAAAACTCAAACTCATAAATAAGATCAGGCTTACTGGATGGATATAGACTGGTAGAACCTCCAAGACTATTGCCCTTAGACACTCTTCAAGCCTGGAACTGAACTCACCCCCATGACTTAACTTTTGGCCAGATGATAGACAGGCCTATAAGGTAAACAGTAACACAGGGAGGTACACACTGCTTAGAATAATCAACTATATGAGATCAACAATCAACTATAGGAGCTCTGGTAGCATAGTGCCGAAGGCACTTGACTGCTAACCAGAAGGCTGGCGGTTCAAACCCACCAGCCACTCCTCGGAAGGAAGATGGGGCAATCTACTTCTGTAGCGATACTGCCTCGGAAACCCAAGGAGGGGTCGCTATGAGTCAGGTCCAACTCGATGGCACATAACAACAACAACAATGAGATCAAAAGGGCAGCATTTGCCCAGGAATAAAGCTCAGAATGTAGGAAGGGGCAGGAAAGAAAGACAAATGGAAATGGTAAACACAAGGAGGAAGTGGGAAGAGTGTTGTTACATTGTGGGGACTGCAACTGATGTCAAGAACAAAATGTGTACAAATTGTTGAATGAAAAACCAATGCGCTCTGTAAACTTTCACCCAAACCACAATAAAAAGTTAAAAAAAAAAAAAAGAATTTCAGAACAAAATGTAAAACCTAAAACTATAAAGTTCATGGAAGCAAACACAGGGACACAGCTAAGAGCCCTAATTTATGATATAAGTAGACTGGCTACCCTCTATGTATTACACGGAGGGAAATTTTAAGCTAAATGACCATTATTTAATGTTATAATAAATACAACTAAAAATACACAAATAGCAGAAGACAAACTAGATAACTGGGACCTCCTAAAATCTAAATATACTCATCAAAAGACTTCTCTAAAAGGGTAAAAAGAGAACCCAGAGACTAGAAAAAAAAATTTGGCAATGACTTATTTGACAAAGGTCTTACCTAAAATTTACAGAGATTTCAACACCTCAACAATAAAAGGACAAACGATTCAATTAAAAAATGGGTAAAGAACATGAACAGACCTTCAGATAGCTAACAAACACATGAAGAGATGCTCATGATCATTAGCCATTGTTGTTGTTGTTGTTATGTGCCGTCGAGTCGGACCCGACTCATAGCGACCCCTTCTTGGGTTTCCAAGGCAGTATCACTACAGAAGTAGATTGCCCCATCTTCCTTCCGGGGAGTGGCTGGTGGGTTTGAACCTCCAGCCTTCTGGTTAGCAGTCAAGTGCCTTAGCCACTATGCTACCAGAGCTCCTCATTGCAACAATAATGGCACTGATCAAAAAACATGCTGGTGAGGCTGGAGGGGGTAAAAAAAAAGAGAATTTACTTTTACTGTGGAAATTGAAAGTAATACAGAAAAGACTCACTCACAAGACATGATGTACAAAATGTTCTGAAGTCCAAACAGCCTGTCTCTGCAAGGGAGATGATATTCTGAAAGACATGAAATTTGACCTTACAGTTGCATTCTGTTGGGTAATGTATTATGCATGGTTCTATACCATTCTCACAGCTCTCTCTCCAAACTGAGGTAGCTAGAAAAGCAATTGAGAATACTTGTCACCAAAACACTCTAAGCTTGAAATAATGTGAGTTTTCAAGGCCACACCTTCAACCACAGACAATAAATTAGAATGCATAAAAATTAAACCACCACCCTTTCTGTGAGTGGCAATCACCTCCCAGTCTGCTAGAGAAAAGAAATACACACATATACCAACTGAAAAAGAAAGAAAAAACACCAGCATATATCAAAACTGATGCTCCAAGGGTTAATCCTCTTCCTTCCCCCAGGCACACTGGCTTTAGGTAACAAAGAGGATGATACTTTCCCCAACTTCTAAGGATTCATGAGCAATGGAAAACTAACCATGTCATCTAACAACTTCACAGCTTAGGTCATCCTCTCAGTCAATAAGAAAAAGGACTTCCCCCTGGTCTAGTTCAAACCTCCATATATTAAATGGGGGAAATTTAAGCTAAATGACCATTATTTAAATGTTATAATAAAGAAGACCAATATATCCAATAGCAGAAATTACTCTTGGTAGGGTATTACCTTAATAAAAGATAAAAGTTATTTTATTTTATTTTTTTTACAAACTTTGTATAAATAAACGAAAAGTGTAACAGTGGAGAAATCTCATTTTTGATTTAATTATCCTACATTTGATGCAGCTGTGACAAAACCCAATATGGTTCCTGACCTTCTGAAGTTTATAAACCCTCATACTTAAAATACATAAAGAACATTACGAAGAAGCTCACCATGTTCCTTTCTTCTTCAGAAGACTTCGTGTAGCCTGGATCAGTAGCCCAAGTCTTGTAGAAAAAGTAGAGGAAGGCTACTATGCTGAGAATGTAAATGAAGTAGAAAGGGGTGCCTGCTAAATGTTAAGGTCAAGTTAAGGAACATATTAAACTTCCATTAAGCAAAGCATAACTATGACATAACCAAAATTCATCAGTGCTGCTTAAGAACCTCTTTTCTGTCTACTGCCTGAAGTCTGGCTAATCCTACAGGATTTATTCCCAGTTGGTCAATAAGCAATTTTTCATTAACGGAAACTGATATTAAGTATTGATACGAATAGTTGCAACTTATGAGGCACATTCTGAAAACTGAAAAATATTCAGGTGCCAAATAATTTAATCTCTCATAGTTCAACTGTGGCAATCCTGTAAATATCTAGAAAAATAGTTTCTGGCACATAGAGTACTGCATTGTCAGTGATGGCAAGCACTGATCTATGGGTGGATGGATGGGTGGACAGGCTGAACAATCAGGTATGTCTAGGGGGTGCGTAGTGTGCCCATGACCATGTCTAGGGTTAGCAGACAATGTTTCTACATGCATATTTGTATGAACAGTAAGAACATCCAGGTATATAGCAGAGCTGACAAGGGACAAGGTTGTGGTGGCTTCTTGGCCACACCCAGCTACCTGGAGGAGCGAGTAGTTCAATCTCTGGGCTCAGGACCATGGTCGCAGGGGAAATAAAGCTCAACTGGCAGAATATACTACACAAAAATATTGTTCTACATCCTACTTTGGTGAATAGCACCTGTAATCTTAAAAGCTTGCAAGAAGCCACCTAGATGCAACAACGGCCCCTCCTCATCTACAGCAAAGAAGAACGTAGAAAATACAAGATGCATGGAAACAATTAGTCCAAGGGACTGGTAGACCATGTGATCCTCAGCTTATATGACCATGAGACCACCATCAACCACTTGGATGGGGATCGGTGCAGGAGATCCTAGATAGAGTTGGAGAACAATGT